TACAGAATAATGAGACAAATTAATTAACATAAAAAAAATAATTGTTTTTAAGAAAAAGTATGTAATTATTTACAATGTATTTTTTTAAACAATTATTTGGTTTTTTTTCACTCAAAGTCAAGTCTATATTTTTATCATGTGGCCCCCTCGAAACCATGCAACTTTTGTCTGAAACGTTTTTTCCATATCTTTCATATTTTTCGAGATATTTGCCTGGGATGATTAAAATGAAACACCCTGTATATTATTTATACAAATGATTATAATATATATTATTATATAAAATTGCTTTAAACTTTTAACGGATAATCAGCAATGCCTGTGTAAAAGTAAAGTCTCGTTAATCTATGGTCGCCAATTGGATACCATCAATTGAATCATCTATTGCTATCAGTAATGCTCGTGCAAATAATAGATGTCTGATTCACTCAGACTATTCGTATTGATTATCTATTGTTGTCACACACATTGAGGTATTGCATATAGAGGCATATTAATAGCTTTTTCGCCATATTCGTTTCGAATATATGTCCAAAACCGAAACCGAAAAAAAATTAAATTTCTCACTCTATTATCTTGTTAAAATTTATTAATCGCTACCTAATATCTCGTCAAAATATAAATAAATAGATAAGTTTACCAGCATTTGGTGTGTATTCTTCGTTTTGATATTAAGTGATTTTCCATCGAAATATTTTTTGATCAAAGATAATATTTCAAGTTCGCGATACTCTTCAGTATCCTAATTTAATTCGACGTGTTTTCGATTCCCGAATCAGCGGCGCCGCCTGGGAGGAGGCTTTCTTAGAGGATGTCGGCAAGGCCGAGGACGGAGGCGCGTTTAAGCAAATTAGCATCGCGAGATTCGCCTCGAGGACCCTCGAACTGGAACTAGAGGCCAACACCAAGACAGTCGTGCCGTATTTCACCAGCACGTTCATCATAATGGGCCTGTTCTCGGTCGTGACATGCATGATGACCGATTGGGTACGAAGCAAGCCTTGGCTCGGTCTTCTGGGCAATATCTCGGCCGCCATGGCGACGGTTGCTGCATTTGGATTATGCATGTATCTGGGGATCGATTTTATCGGCATCAATCTTGCCGCACCGTTTCTCATGATAGGTAAGCTGCTGTTAAAATTGTCATATCAATTCGGATATCACAACACTCGTGAACACTGTGATTTTATCCGATTATCCAATTATCCGATAACAATTAAAGGCATGAAATTTTGCAAACAGTGCAATATAAATTTAATTATTTATTACAAATATATATATAATTATTAATAAATAATATATAGATATATTAGTTGCATTATTTTACATACAAATTATATATATATATAATATATTTAGAGTTCTTCTAGAATTATTAATGTTAAATAGTACTGCTTTTAAAGTATTTTAACAGCATAAATTTAATTTAATTTTGTATTTAAAAAGTAATTGCTTAAAGAAAATAATATATTTATTTGGCAACAAAGGTTGCATGGTATCTATCAATATTAATTTCACGGATAATTTTGAAATTGTCATATAATTTATAATTTTGGAATACTTTGTAATAGGAATACAGCTATGGAATACAGCTTTTTTCCGCCATCACTAGCTATTCTCGCAGTCCTTTATTATATGGAAATATTTGAAGGTTTGCCAATCGATGCTTAGATTGATACTTTGTGTAAGTTGAGCAACGCGAAAATAACGACAGAACTTAGCCTCTTTTGCAATACGTTGCTGTAATTCCCTGTCACGTCTAAAATGTAGAAACGTACATTCTTCGGCGATAAATACGTTAGCTCGCTTCGTCAGGTGCGTACAAGCGAAATAAACATACTGTGATTTATGTGAAAAGCGGAAGTCTTCTTTTCCCTTTCGACGTTGCGCTCGCCTGCGCTCAACGCCGAGTAAGATCGGTCTTTATCGATAATAATGGCTTCATTCGCGATCCAATCGACCGGTCGCAATTCAAAGTAATTATTATATTCACTCACAAATTTCATTCAAAAATATATAGTTGATTAGCAAATTAATATATATCTTTTTATTTCTTTATATATTATCTAATTTAATTATATTTAATAGAAGAGTAGACGATTTTTCTGTCTCTTTCTAGACTTCTCAGAAATCCATTCATTTTTTTTTTCTATCACGAAACTAAAGAACTTTAGTAAAACAGGAATATAATGAATAAATATATGTATAATAGCAGGTTGATAATATTATTATAATTCTAAGTAGAAATTATAAAATAATATTATACTATATCTAAAGAAAAGCGTTTCTCTTTTATATGATATACATCTTTATTAGTCACGTATAATTACATGTTGTTTCGATAAGAAACCTAATACGTATGCGAAATGCATTGCCTCACGATTTTGATTTATTGTAAAGAAAACGCGTTTCTATTCCTATTTATACTTCCTGAAAAATCAGAGGCGACTCATGTAGACAAACGTGACATCCAGAGAATTGGCGGTGATAAATTTTCAACGAACAATCGCACGCTTAGAAAATGCACGGATTGTTTCAAGCAACATTACTTTTTTTTAAGAGAAGATCTTATTCACCGTTAACGATCCCTTCAAATATAAAAACTTCAATTTTTGCAGAATCATTTAACAAAATTTATTAAAAATTAAGACAGATTTGCTTAGAAATTTATAAAAAAATAAACAAAAGAAAAAATTAACAAAAAAATAATTATAAATATATATTTTTAAACATAATTTGTATTTTAACCAATTTAGAGTTCTTTTCTCTTTATATAACTTAAATATATATTTAAGAGTATAATTTGTCACTTTATATACATAAGCAAAGAAAATAATTAGAATTGCCGAATCGCAATAAAAAAGAAACATGGGGCATCGGATTTTTAACGTATTTGTATTTTTTGTCGCAGGAATAGGGATCGATGATACCTTTGTTATGCTAGCAGCCTGGAGAAGGACTAGCATCAGTAAACCGGTGCCGGAAAGGATGGCGGCGACATTGAGCGAAGCTGCCGTTTCCATCACCATCACATCTTTAACGGATATGATATCCTTTTTTATCGGCGTTTGGTCGCCTTTCCCTTCGGTTCAGATTTTCTGCATTTACTCAGGTACCAAAACCATTTCACATAAATAGATCTCCGTTTATGATTTTTTACGTAGAATATTTCAAAATTGATAATATCTCGATATTTTTTGCTAAAAAATATATGAGAGTAAAAAAATTGAATAATTCCTAATAAAAAGAAATTGGAGAAACCTTGACATAAGAGTACACAAAATTGTAAGAAATGATAGTTTTGAGATATCCTCAACACTTTTTGAAATATCCACACTAGGATCGTAATGTGATTCGTATTTTTAATATCGTTTGTGCATTAAATGACAGGTTTCGCAGTTGTCTTCACTTTCCTGTTCCATCTAACGTTCTTCAGCGGATGCGTCGCAATCAGCGGTTATTGCGAACAAAAGAATTTGCACAGTGTTTTCTGTTGCAAAGTGCAACCTTTATCTAAATCTGGTAAGTAATTTAATCTTTATATATGATATAATACTTACTAAGTATTATAATTATTTTAATTGTATAATAGTAAAATATAATTTATCTTCCTCTCTTTCTTCTTTTTATATCCAAATTATTGTTACAAAACTGATTTCTATCTTTTTGGCTGAACGAATAATTGGCAATTTATTAATTTCGAGTTTTAATTAATTTCAATCTATATAAATTACTAGTCTCCTCGTTATTTCTACCATTATGTCAATCAGCATTATTCATAGACTGCCATTCGAAATCGTTGCGTCTACATGATGTATTGAAGTTACGTCGTGCAAATGCATACGTTACGTTTGAATATCGTTAATTCGTTAGATCACACAGTATTATGTAATGGAAAAAGAGAGCTTGCTTTCTCCTTGTTTTATTTTTCATGTTGTCATATCGACAACTGCAAAATATTGAAAAAGTATTGGGAAAGTCATATTTCTATCACGCACTATCCTTCTATTCATGCGAATAATCATGTTATAATTAAGCAATTAAAATATTTTGCAACAGCTTGAATGAAAAACTAAGCTATGCGAAGAAAATTTCTGCAACCGGATATATATAATGCGCGATAAGTACCATTCTCTGCATTTAATAGTGCATTTTTTAAACACTCACATTTCAGCTCATCGATCGTGGTTATACAGAGTACTATTATCCGGCGGAATCGATCCCGACGACCCTCAGAATCCAATCGACAATCCCGAACACGGATGCATGACTTGGTTCCGTGATTATTTAGCAGCTGCGTTGAACTGTCGCCCTGTGAAAGTGATTATCATCATCGTTTTCGTGTTCTATCTCCTTGGTGCCCTTTACGGCCTCACAACTCTTAAGGAGGGCCTGGATCGACGCAAGCTTTCCAAAGAAGATTCCTACTCGATCGTTTTCTACGATCGCGAGGATTTTTATTTCCGAGAATTTCCTTATAGGATACAAGTAAGTTATAAAAAAGATACAAAAATAGTCGATGAGAATTTTCTAATTTTTTTTGTAATACATAATATTTTTCTAATCTCTTCAGTTTTTCGTTGTATTTCGTTATTAGAATCCGCAGACTTTATCTACTTTGATATCAAAAAATATTACGAAAATGAGAAAAATATCGCGCGCTTTTATTTATTTTAAATATTATATAAAAGCACATGTAAGAAATGAAAAATCTTAATTTCTACTCTCCAACACCTCAATTGTCAATACACGAAAGTAGTTTTTTTAGCACCACTCTTTAATAACTATGCAAGATCTATACATTTTTATGATCACGATAGTTCGGTTATTCTTTAAAACCAGACAAAAACCTATCACAAAATTCGCGTTGATCAATATTTAGAGAATTCCGTTTCGTGCAAACAAACTCGAAGAAATATTTTCTCACAAGTGGCGCAAAAAAAAAGAAACATTAACATCGGAGGAAGGTGCGTTACGCTTGGAACTGCCACGCATAATCCGGTACACGCAATTATGTCACGTGTTCCCCTCGATACAACGCGATATCGCGCAAACAACTTTCTCCGGTCGGCTAGCTTGGACTTCAAGAAAAGCAATGTTCGTTACATCACGCTCCTCCGACTCGATCGACCGACAAGAAAGGCCAACTAAACACAGAGAGATTCCGCGTTTGAGTTGCTTGGCAATTCACGTTCAATTTCATTCCGGATATTTATACCCGCGAGAACATGCTTTTTCTTCTACTTTTTAATATGCAATGTAATAGTTACAACATTTTTTATAACAAAATGATTTCGAGAAATTATAAAATATTTCTTTTATAAACTACAGCGATTAAAGAATTAAAAAAATTTTTTTTTGTATTTGGAATAATATATATATACATATATTGACGAATTAATTTAGGGGGGTTGCATCTTCTTAAAATTATCTAGCTATAAATTTGACGTAATTTTTTTTTACATTGAAAATATGTGAATTTAGAAGGAGTTGAGGCAATATTTAATTCATATTTGCGAAGATTCTAGCTCTAAATTTTAAGATGATTAATACTATGTTGTATTAATTTCTAAGTGAAATGCTGAAATATATTTAATGTATAATTTAGAACTAGAATCTTCGCGAATATGAATTAAATATTGTCTCAACTTCTTCTAAATTCACATATTTCCAATGTAAAAAAAAATTACATAAAATTTATAGCTAAATAATTTCAAGATGATGCAATTCCTCTAAATTAATTCGTCACAAAAAGATTTTCTACAGCTTCCGTTTCAATTAGATAATTGCGTATCTCATAACGCAGCGTGTCGAAGGCGATTTCAACGCTGCGTGTTTCTTTATGTGGCGTTAAAGTCTCGCTTCGATGAAATAAAATTATAAACTCGGCAAGAGATATGGTCGGACTGTGAATTTCACTGGGACCTTTTTCCCCGTTGCGTTAGTCCCGATACATTGTAGTGAAAGTACGTTTCTCAAAGATGGTCCCGCACTATCGCGTTTCCTTGCAATATTAATAATGTCACGAGAATCGCGGCGCCAAGTCGAGTTCCGATGACTTCGCGGAAACGTCATTCACCGAGAAACTACTGTTATGATGAATTTTTAACGACACGCGGCGTAATTAGGCCCACTCGAAATGTTTATGTTGAAACGTGCGTTATTCATGCCGAGGTAAAACAAATTGCATAATCATGACAAAATATGACGTTGCGGTTCTATGAGGTCCGAGAGGCGCGACACGTTATGTCTCGCGAAACGCGCTTTCTCGAAATTACTTTCACGAAGATATTGCTGGAATTCCCGAAAAGGTACTCGTGTTTCAACGTTACATTCTCTGTGGTCGGTGTTGGCAATCTTATCATTATGTTTGCGAATTTTATAAAAGAAATGAAAAAGGAAAGCAAGACAACAACAAATGGTCAAATCAATTCTTGACCACACAAAGCTTTTAAGTTATTTCAATAAATTGAAATATGTGTGTGTATATTATTGTAAACACGATAGGCTATTAACTTATTCATTATGATCTTTGAAAAAAAACATTTAGCAAGACAATTAAATTGCCAGAATTTTTTTAAACTACTCAATAATAAAATTATAAAATAATTATATAAACATATATGATACTATATTATAGATTTATATAAATTTATTTTTTTTTATTTATTTTTTATTATTAAACAATTAGAAACACTACATATAATTTAACTTTCTTGACAAATAAATGTTTTGTTATTAAATATTATAGTGAATAATTAATTTAGTATAAAAATTCATTAAAATCTAAACTCTTAAAATAAAATAAAATCAGCAGAGTTCTCTTGTCATAAAAATTTTTTCTCGAAAAATTGAAATATATGTTAATAGTTATAGAAATGCCCTGTTTCTTTTATTGAAACGTGTTTTGTCGTTTTCAAGATTTGTAACTTGAGTAATTTAAGAAATATCATAATGATCGCTTTCTCGTAGAAGAAGCTTTGTTTTTGTGACAAAATTTTTTTTCCAGTTTTCTATGCCATGTGTTTATAATGTTCTAAAACGTCGAAAAATCATATTTTTTTAAATGTCTGTATGTATGTATGTATATATGTATGTTGTATGTATATATGTATGTATGTATGTGTAACAATGCACCCCCATGGTGACACATTGTTACCCGGCAGTAGACCGCCGGAAGTCTGTCGCCCGGCGAACATCGGCCGGGCAGGGGCAGAGGCGCCGAGCGCCCATTTTTTAAACATTAAATACACCGTTGCGATAAACAACCGTACGGCCGCCGAAATTCGGAAAGCCGAATACCGCCGAGCGCTGCCGTGAACGCCCGAGCGACACCCGCCGAAACGCCGCGCCGTTTCGCCCAGGGGAGGTGACGTATTACCGAATTACCTGCCGAAAAACAATACGTCATTATCCCCACCCGGGGGCGAACGACGCGGGTACCGTTAATCGCTCGGGTATATAACAGCAGCCTTTTTAGATCCCGGCACCAGAATCGTACCAGAAACCGAATCCGCTCGAGCTGTACGCTCGAGACTTGCCTGATCCGATCCTAATAAATCGCAAACACGACGGAACGTGAGGTTGACGAGTTCGCAGCCTCCGCCGAGCATTCTCGGCTTCCGAACCACTTTACGATCAGTTGAAATCCGGGATCGCTTCTCTCGAGAGTTCTCGAGAAACGATCTAACTTCCGACCGATCCGACCATACGAACCGTGGGCTGGCGAGTTCGCCACCCCGTTGAGTTTTCTCAACACCGTTGGTCAATCCGGACTCCGCGTGCGAGCAAGGGACAGCGAGTTCGCTGCCCGTTCGAGATTTCTCGATATCGCACGCATCCCATAACATCTGGGAATACGCGATATTAATAGTACCGCATACGTATAAGAAATCGTCTCGGCAATTTAAACCGATTCACACGTTTTTGTGAACCACGCGCACCGTCACAACAAACCGACCACGCCTTAGGATGTGACCGGACAAACACCGGCCAAGCGTATAAAACGTCCTAGACGTAAGAAATAAGCGAGTACGCTTCGAATAAAGGTTCTCTCACCTGTTTTAAATTCACGGTCGCCAGCCCGCTTTCACCAATAAGCGGCGAAGGTTACTTGGCTGTCCGCTCGCAATGGCAGGATTGCAACCAATATATGACGCCGCCTCGCTCCACGATTTCCTCAACGATTTGGCTACCGCTACGCCGAGCATTCTCGGCTTCCGAACCGCTTTACGATCCTTCGAAATCCGAGATCGCTTCTCTCGAGAGTTCTCGAGAAACGATCTAACTTCCGACCGATCCGACCATACGAACCTTGGGCTGGCGAGTTCGCCACCCCGTTGAGTTTTCTCAACACCGTTGGTCAATCCGGACTCCGCGTGCGAGCAAGGGACAGCGAGTTCGCTGCCCGTTCGAGATTTCTCGATATCGCACGCATCCCATAACATCTGGGAATACGCGATATAAATAGTACCGCATTCGCATAAGAAATCGTCTCGGCGATTTAAACCGATTCACACGTTTTTGTGAACCACGCGCCGTCACAACAAACCGACCACGCGCCCCGCGCCGCCTACCTGGCGTGTTTATATCCGCGGTGCGTATACTACACCGCATCTCATTGTCAGACTCGCGTAATTGATAACAGCCGCGCCCCGTCAGTAACGCATTACTATCCGCCGTGCACCTGCTCCGCGGGGCTGTTCTGTATTATTATTCCGCGCCGATAGAGGCTAATAAAGTAACCTTTCTTTATATTTTAAATTACATCGCGTGTCTCAATACTTTCTACGAGCCCTGATCACGACCGAGCGAATCCGCGAGCTCATAAAAAGTACACCCGTTACATATGTATGCATGTATGTATGTATGTATGTTTGTACGTATGTATGTATGTATGTATGTATGTACGTATGTACGGAATGTACATTGTACAACCTTTAACTTCCGCGATTTTTGAAATATCGGGCTAAATTTTTTTAAATGGATAGAGTATTATTAAAGAATGGTTGCTATTGAATTTGGTGAATCGCTGAAAGGGTTTATTTTTTATAAAATTTTGAATTTTTTGAGAAATGTCTATACACGTTCTAACTTTCGCAAATTTTGAGATATCTTCTTCTATGAGGAAGCCAAAATTGAAAAATCTGCTTGCTTTAAGAAGCTTAAGCTTTGTGAGCGAAATAAAATGATGAAGAAGCAATGTGCAAGTTTCTAAATTGCACAATGCTTGTTTTTTAGATTTTGTGAAAGATTTTCAGTCTCGTTTTCGAGCTTGCTTACTTTTATTACAATTTTTAAAATTTAAAAATTAAAGAAATGTATATCTCATATATATCGTATTTTTATTGTCTTTTAGGTGGTAGTGGCCGGAGAGTATGATTACAGTGATCCAATAATTCAACAGCAGGTGGAGAACTTGACGAAAAGCCTCGAGGCGAGCAAATACATCAGCGCGCCGATCTACACGGAAAGTTGGCTTCGCAGCTTCCTCAGCTACGTAACACGCAACGAAGATTACCTGAACGTGACTATCAATGATAAGCATAATTTTACTAAGACTCTCAAAGAACTCTGGCTGTTCCCGTCCAGTTCTTTCTCCCTAGATGTCAAGTTCGACGAGACGGGCGAAAAGATTGTGGCAAGCCGGTTTATGATACAGGCAGTGAATGTAAGCGGCACGAATCAGGAAAAGGATATGGTAAAAGAGCTGCGTCACATCTGTGACATATCACCATTGAACGCTAGCGTGTTTCATCCGTACTTCGTGTACTATGACCAATATGAGCTGGTCCGGCCGACTACTATCCAGTGCATGACATTCGGCGCGCTCGTCATGATGCTCATCAGCTTCATCTTTATCCCCAATGTTTTCTGCTGCCTATGGGTCGCCTTCTGCATCGTGTCGATCGAGATCGGGGTGAGCGGTTACATGGCGCTGTGGGATGTTAATCTCGACAGCATCTCTATGATCAATCTGATCATGTGTCTTGGCTTCAGCGTTGACTTCACCGCACACATCTGTTACGCTTACATGAGCTCAAAGCAATTACGGGCGGAGGATCGGGTCAAGGACAGCCTGTATAGTCTAGGTCTGCCAATCGTTCAGGGTGCCGCATCGACGATACTCGGTTTGACGGCGCTCCTGCTGGCTGGCACCTACCTCTTTCTCGTGTTCTTCAAGATGGTCTTCCTAGTGATCTTTTTCGGCGCCATGCACGGTATGTTCCTGCTGCCTGTGTTGCTGTCCCTCTTCGGACCCGGCACCTGCAGTAAAGGACAGGACGAGCCCGGAGAAGCGGAGAATGCGAAGAACAGCACGCAGGAAAAGGAACTGGCGAACAAGCTTCAGCAACCCTATGTGATTCCACATCCTCATCTAGTCTATTACACCGCGGGCGCTGTCAAGCCGCTCCAGGACAGTCCCGCGACCAGCATGGCGGCGTTCGAGGAGAGGGATCCCGGCTTGGGTACCAGCGAGGACAGCAACTCGACCGAGAGTGGCTCCTCGCAGAGCAGGAGACGTCAGTGCAAGGACCAGCAGCCGGATCTACAGAATCAGGCCCGTCACGACATGTGGAGAAGATCCATCGGCGTCCTGTACGGCCTGTCGCAGTTTCAATCCGCGACCGGCGAACCCGCGTATCCGGCGCCGGACTATCCTGGCGCCCTGGCGCGAGAATCCTGCGAGGAAAACGGTCCACGAACGGTGCCTTATCTAGGACCATACGTCGCGTATCGCCAGCCAAATCAGTTGTCGCAGGACTACAGACGCAGCAGATCCTATCATAATCTGCAGTATCCTGCGTCGACGCGATATATAACGGATCCTCGATATCCATAGTAGAAAGTTGAGATGGATAGCGCGAAAGAAAGATATTGTCGACGTGATAAGCGAGACGAAAAAATCATTCAGTTGAATTTAGGCCCCTTCAAGCGAAACGATAGCGATAACCGATTAAGGCAAACTGATTTTGCCGAAAGAATGAACCGATATCGTGAAACCATGACAATGCGAGAGAAGGAAGGATACCTTTTGTGCAAGATTAGAATGTCCGAATTACGGTTTATATTATTTTTAAGGGGCTGAATTTCGATAGTCAGAATTTAACTCTCAAACAACGGCACAATCGCACAGAGTATGACGCCCGAGTATATGTTCGGATCTATCATAAAATATTTTTTATCTCAAATAAAATTTTTATTGTTACATTTTGATTTTATTGTATACCTAAATTTTTTATTTTATTGTATACCTAAAAATTTTTCTTCCTAAATTATCCATGGAAAAAACATAAGGCATAGAAAAATAAATAAGTAACTAATAAGCATAAATGTGTAATTAATAGAATTTTAAAAAATTTAAAAGAAAAAGAAAAAAATTTAGAACAAAATGAGAAAGTATTTTTTAAATATTTTCCCCCTTTTCTTTGATACGATTGATACAAATAGTTTTATAAAAAGAATAAACTAATTTTACATACTAGTTTTATATATATGATATATAAAATATAATTTTATATATGAAACTAGTTTTTATACATATATTTGGGTTTGAAAAAATCTGGGCACCGTTGAACAAAGATTAATGTGATCTTGAAGAGATTTTTTGTATAATAATGCTTATATTACAAATATAAGCACTGTTAAAATTACGGTCAATATATATATATTCGTAAGTATCTTACGTATGATATCAATACCTGAAAACATTACTTGCGAAACGAGCTATTATATACAGGTTGTCCTAAGAAAGACATACATCAATAATAGACACGTGAATATCCCGTAACTGAAATTATGATTAAAAAAGGGCAAGTCTCTAACGATTCTCAAGTTTTCAAAGATTCATCGATGTTTAAATATATATAACTATTTAATAAACTGTGTTTTGTTTATCTAATATTTATAACATAAATATAAAACAATAAATTCAAAAGTACAGGCTCTATTAAATACAAAATCAAACATAAATAATTGGCAAGTAAGAGCCAGCGCTGGAGTTGGTGCGCATACTTTATTTAAATATTAATTTAATCGAATGTCGATTTACGACATTACAAAATTATAATTAGACGAACGTTTAGGTCCTTTTTTTGGACCTTCTTCAGCGTGATAAAATAGACGCAAACATAAAAGATAGTTAAATCGGCGGGTCAATACAAGGGAACTAATCTATAGCAAATTATATACAATAATATTCGTTGTTTAGACATCACCAATATATCGTAGGTACGTCTTCCTCACGGATGTCATGAGAGTCTCAATTTTTTACGGTTCACATCTCTCCCCAGTTGGCAAACCAGGAAGCAACTGAATCGATATGTTGACAGAACTATAGAGAATTTAGAGTTTGTAATTGTAACATAAATTATTATATTTAATATTGATTATTAAATAATTTTATAATCTAATGGCTTATTTTAGCATCACAAAAAACAAAAACATAACGAAAAAGTAACGAATCGTTACTTTCCAAGTAACGGTAACGGTAACGCGTTACTTTTTAAAATCAGTAACGAGTAACGGTAACGAGTTACTTTTTACAAAAAATAACAGTAACGGTAACGCGTTACTTTTATAGAGTAACGTTCCCAAGCCTGGCGTATTGTGCCCTTCGCAGCCAACGGGTTAATTTCGTAGTATTCACGTTGTGCAATGTTCTTTGCGTAAGAACAATATGCACACATTCAAGAAGATAATGTCGGGATGGCGACGCCTCATTCGGGTTTGTGTTAGTCGTTAAGAACAGCTCAAATCGAACGCGATAATATATAAACGTGTATGTATATATATATACATATATATATACATAAACATATATGCTCAATATATCAATCAAAACCAAAATGTCCCGCGATGTATCAATTAAAGAAATTTCTGTGATCGGCATATCAATTGTTCACGTCGAGCAACACATGGCCTTAAAACAGTCCACAGATGTAATAGTTTGTTGTACGATAAATCGAGTAATCCAATTTGGCTAGTAGTT